TGGCTTCCATACAGCTTGTAGAGTTTAATGTAATAACACTTTTTTACTGTTGGTTCTCAATCACTAGTTCATAATAAGAGTGTGTTTTTTGTGCTGCAGCATCACTTATTAGATAGCAGCTCTAACATCAGCTGTTTTTTATATTGAGAGGCACACCCTGTAGATTACATTACACACACACTACCCCCACACTGTGTCTTAGTGCGTTTGCATTACAATACCTGCCCTGCCCTTTTCAGACTCGACAGCATGACAATCAACCATTCAACTCTCTGTCTACCCTCCTCCTCTCTGCTGATCTGCTGATTCTTTGCTTCAGATTCAGCACGGTGTTTGCAGACTTTGAACACTGTCTGTGTGTCCACTGTGTGCGTTTCCTTTGCCTTAACCCTCAAGAACAAACTGGTTAAATTTAGCTATTGTTATTTAACCCTGTGATACACATTTCAGATTAAGTAGCTTTGGTAGCTTGTTGGCTCGAAGCAGCGGCTATTAACGGAAAGGTCCCTCACTGTGACGCTGCTTTTTGTAGTATAAAACTAATTGTTGATTAGGATGGTGAAACCAAACTAATCTACAAAATTTTTTATCATCTGTTTTTTTTTTTTTGTTTTTTTTTTAATGTCAGGTTAGCTAAAAGTTTGCTTTTTATGTAGAAACAGCCTTTAGAATCAGACTTGCAAACAGTGTGATGCATTTTTAAAAAGGCAAAAAATAAAAAGCACAGAACCATAATCTAGCCATGAAATGCATTAAATGCATGCTTTCCACACATGCAGTGAAATAAGCAGGTGATGCCCTGCATGCCTAAAACCAAATCAGTTTTCATACAGGAAGACCGGGTATAGTAGAAGACACTGCTCTGTTCAGATGGTTTTACAGGACAGAGACTCAGATTTACTTCATTTAATTGTACGTAAGTATTTTATAAGATGAAGCTATACACCGCGTACGTGTACAGCTGTAAATTAAGTCAACGCCTTATTTTAATATAAATCTCCAGAAATTCTTGAAATTCTTCCCAGTTTTCTATTTGAGGCACATCAAACTAAACTGTGTGGTAGCAGGAAGTCAAACTTTAGTTCAGGGGAAAGGAATCAAAAGCAGACGCACCCAAAGCAATTCTTAATTTTTTGATTTTATGAAGTAGTTCACTGATTTAAAATCTTCTTATGTGGTTCACTCATTCATGACGTGTCTGAGAAGAATAGAAGTTTTAAAGAAGGA